TTAGTTTAACTTTTTTATGCTTTTGCATAAATTTTATTTCAAACTTTTGCATTTGTAATTACTTTATACTACCTTTCTTAACAGCTTTGAGTTTCATGGAGACGACATCAGATCCAGCGTTAGGTTCACTCATGGCCAGCGCTCCAATGTGTTCACCTGTCAGTAACTACCAAAAACAAAATAAGATAAAAAAATAAATCAACTCGATGCTTTAAAATGATAATTTTCCTCTTTCACGCTGTGCAGCCCTGACCTTTGGCATGTACTTCTCCTTCTGCTTCGGGTTGGCGTGACGCACCATCTGGTTGACACAGAGATTGGAGTGGGCGCCATAACTGAGAGCGATGGCTGCCGACACCCGAGACATTTCCTCCATCACGATGACGTGGTCCAGGTAGCCCAGTCCCGTTCCCCCGTCTTCCACTGACCGGAGCAAATGAAGCGGTCCAGATAAAGATTAAAACTCTACACATGGATTTATTCAGTCACATTTAAATGTTTCAGATTGGCGAATTAATTTGCAACTAATGGTTTATTAGATTAAATTTAATACCAATTGATTAATAAAGTCCAATTACTCTTTTAGTGTTTAGTTTGGCTCCAGCAGAGGGCGCCACTTGCCATTCCTAAGCAGAGTTGATACAGAAACAAAGATGGCAGTGGTGTGCCAGGACGATCCAAACATAAGTTAGTTTTGATTTATTTCAAGTTTACTGAGATATTTGCACAAGAAATTGTGTTTTTGCAGTGTATATTTTATGCACTGGAACAAAATATAATAAAAAAAGTTCCACTTGGTGTTTTCTACCAAATGTGAGACAGTCTTTGTGTTATCTGTGATTGTGATCTTTTAACTTTTGCATGGAGGCCATCTTTTCCTTAATTTAATCATGAACTTTGACCTTTAATAAGACAAGTGAGGCTTTCAGAGCTATAAATGTTGGTCTGGATTATTCTGTATATTGGAGTAATGTTGGTAGGTTGGCCAAATCTGAAAAGTTTCATCACTGTTCCATGTTTTCTCCTTTTGAAATGAAAATACTTACACAGCACTGCATGGTTCAAGCAAGAAAATATAACTGTAAGGTCCCCCACCCCTCAAAACAAAACAACAACAAACAAACAAAAAAACACTTTAGCTTCAGTTATACCTGGAGCAGTAATGCCCAGCAGTCCCATCTCGCCCATTGCTTTCCAGTAATCCTGGTAAAAAAAACAACATTCCTCTCATTACCCAGAGTTAATTTTTACCTAAAAACATACAAATGGTTTGGTATTAACCATGTTTAATTAAACTCTACTGCACGAGTTGTATATAGGCAAATCATTCACTGAGTGGGTTTCAACTCACCCGCAGTCCTGGGAACTCATTTTTCTTGTCAATCTCATCAGCATAAGGTGCAAGTTTCTCTGCACAGAATTTACGAACTGTGTGCCTAAGCTGTGGAAAAAACAAAACAAACAAACAAACAAACAAACAAAAAAACAGATATCATCAACATAATGTCTACTTGGATAAAATTTTTGGTAGACTATTAAAAATGTTCTAAAAGGTGTAAACTTCTCACTCCTTTTCGAACAGGTACTGTAACCAAAATGATTGGTTCTCATGTTACTAAACATTATTTTTGTGTATGTTTTAAATGCATATACATGCAGAGATGGACAATCAATCAATAATACACATCTCAAAACACGTGATCAATATGAATAGATATATCTGATAGAATATTCAATAAATTCACCGAATTCAACCTCACGGCTTCAACTAACTCACTCGCTCTTTGGTTGCCTAGCAACAACCTGCAGTTTTAAGTTTGAGTGTTCTTTACAAAATTCAAGATTATTGGTGTTTGAGAGTGTGAACTTGCATTATTATTCCATTATCAACATATTGCTTGAAAATGATCACCAAGCAACAACATGACAGATTCAGTCATGAGTTCAAAGACACCAAAATTGATCGTTTAAGCGTACTGATTAAAGACAAAATGCGTCTGCATTCCCAGTGGACAATAATCGATTAAAAGTGACCCACAGAAGGAACTGTGACGAACTGGAGAAAGGCTCATGGGTGGCCTCATCTGGTGGATGCAGCCCAATGCAACAGATGATGTGGTGGAGAGGCATCAGGACACAATATGTTGGTTTTTATACAAGAAGCATGTTCTGAAAAACACGTCAGATCCATATTATAGCTTCTAGTACCTAACAGGATCATCACCAATCCAATGGATCCTATAGAGTCAACAAAGAGGAAATTAACCCACTAACAACCAAGTGGTCATAATGTTATGCTGGTACTAAATCACGAGGAAGAACCTTTTGTCCAATCAAATAGCCTATATGAGACCCACCTCCTCCTCTATTTGTCGGTTCTTATATAAAATATCAGTGAAACTGCTGCAGAAAGCTTAACAATAACATATTAATTTATGAATCTGATCTTTTACAAACCGTTATTGTTGCAGTAAAATCAGCTTTAAATCAAAAGTTTAGCCATAAAAACTGATTGTTGCACGAATTTTTATGTTTACGGAAGTGTTTAGACATAACTTACCTGAATCAATAAACACTAATATTTATGTTTTGTTTACGTATCCCCTGCCAGTTAGCTAATGTTATGTCATCACGCCATGTCAGTTACGACCTTTCACCGACATCTTCTGAGTGGAAAAGACTCATCTTCTGAGTCTCAGTTTGGTGCACAATGCAGTTCGTTTCCACGTGATTATTGTTGAATTATTTCGAACAGTTGTTGTTCCTGTTTGCACCCCAAGTTAACCTGTGATCGTAGCTGCAGCTAGCTAACCTGTATCTGCTCCTCTGTGAGTCCGTTCACCACGTCATCCACCTGGATAGCAGCACCGGAACATCCCCTCCGCGCCACGGCGGGGACGGATAACCTGGAGCCGAGGCGGAGAGCGTTTCTGACCGCAAACATGACGCTGCTAGCGGGTGAAAACATAAAGCTGGGCTTCAGATGTGTTGGTGGGACTGTCCTTTGTCCTAGGGCAAAGAAGATGTCTCACTCTGATATTAATTTCACGGAAAGACGAGGTCTCACTCTGATGGAATTTCACAGTACAGTTAGCGTCGAAGCATCCACCATTTTGTGTGTGGCAAGCTCCCAGTGAAACCAACAAATTTGCTTGGAAGCTTTATTTTTCAAAGAAAGAAAGTTTACGATCAACTAATATTAATCAAAAATTTTGCATGAATAAGATATATTAATTTTAGTATTCAAAATGATTGAATGTTTTTTTTTAAGTAATGCATTTAAAAATGATAAAACACAAGCGATAAGGAAATTGTATCGAATTAACGTACTATTTTTGAGTTTAATAACAGGACCCTATATCAATGGTATAATGCCAATTATGAGATATAAAACCACTCAAATATGTGTAGACATAGTATAATCAGAATAATCAATATACAATTTGTAACATACTAAAAGCTAGTTATTGTCCATAAGAAGTGGTTAATTTGCTGTAAAACCCATAAAAATGCTACACTTCATAATATAAAATAAAAATATGACATGTCATATGCCACTAATAACATGGCGGTGATATTGACGTACGAAACGCGTTTGACGTCTACTCTTTTTCTTCTTCTATGAATTTTCGTCAGTGAAACGTCTCTTTTTCTTTGGTAAGTTGGTTGTTAGCACCATCTGTTGGTGAAAACTGGTAAAGCAACGCATTTCAAAACGTCAAAATACATTATTTATTCAAATTTCAACGCTAAATTCACATATAGTTCCGCTGAATATTAAAATGTGCTTCTATATAAAATTATGACGTTATATTGTGTGTGGCTGCATGTTTTTTTTACTGGAATATTTCCTGCACTGCTGAACCTCATGGAGCAAACAAGACCTTTGAAGCATTTAATTAAATCTGCTTATTTGCTTAAATCAGATCAGTGAGCTTTTGGTGTTTTACAATGGCTTGTTTTATTAAATACAATTTACATTCCTTTTTAACTCCTATTTGTTTCAGAAGTCATTGGATTATCTGTTGCAGATTTATAAGAAAATGTGGTGTGTAAAAAATGTTTTAGTGGAGTACAATGTGTTTCCCAGTTCAACTCCAGGTTTTATTGACATGGAAGAAAATAGATTACAAATTTTTCACCTTGACTTAACTGTAAAAAGGGAACCAAAAATTGTTTTCTATAAAGCCGTTACGCCATGATTGCACAGATGTCCACTTCTTTAAATATGAACTTTCGATATATTTTTAATCATTCAGTCGTCCTTGGTAGGTGTCCATCTTGGATTATGAGGATGGGACTTGTCTGAAAAGTTACTTGTAAGTTAATTTTGTCTTATTACAGGAGTACTAAGATATTTACACTAGAAACTAGACTAAAATTACTTGGTAAGAGTTTGTGTGTTTGCAGAGTAGCACTACTTCAACTTGTTTTTACTCAAGTAAAAGTAAAAAGGCGTCTCAGGTGCAGCTGATCAAAACATAACAAATATTTGCTGCTGTTCCAAAACTTTACATTTTTGGTACAAGATGTTGCCACCACCATCTCTTGGTATTTTGTCTGACCAGTTTCTGTATTTTCTCTATTTTTAGAGAAACATCCAATTTATTTAATATCACTGATGTTTTATACCATTTATAGCTTTTCTGCAAACATATGGCTGTAGCTAAATGATACATATATGCAAATTGTATGTAAGCTGAAGTCTGTTTCATCAGTTTGATGTGTAAACAAAAGGACTAAATGTTAAAGCTGGAAACAACTTCCCCAAAACAATGTAGGTCGATTATGCTCACAGATTATGCATGCAGAATAAATGTTTCATGGATTAATTTTGCTGGAAAATGTTTTAAAGTGATTAAAAATTTGACAATTTGACTCCTGGGATCCAGTGCAAAATGTAACAGATGAGCAGCTGAAGGAGTGGAGTTTTTAGCTAAAGTGAGGCGACAGAGAGCCTGAAACTATGTCAGCAGCTCTAAACTGTTCAGTCAGGAAGCGAGAGCGGCAATGCGGAAGATAATAAACAGCGGCAGTGTGTGTGACCGTGTGTGAGAGAGTGTAAAACCGCGCAGAAGAGCGAGCCACGCCACTAAAGAGGGGTTCCCCTTACCGACAGAGTCAAAGAGTGCACAGGCTGCCAGAGGCGTTTCCCTGCTCAGAGTAACCAGCGGAGGACCCGGGGAGGATCGGCAGGACTCCCCGAGTACCGGAGAGACTCCGTGGGAACTCTCACAGTGAAATGACCAGATTTGAAGCCTGAGCCGAAGCGGAGTTTCGCTTCTCGTCATTGCGCCTCTACAGCCAGATCTCAAATGCCTAAAGAGTGCCGGAGAAAGTCCTCCAAGGACTTCGGGTTTTCTGGGACTGGGATAAGCGATGGAGGCCGTGTAGAGAGAAGGGCGGCCGGGAGGTCTCCACAGATCTGCGCGGAGCTCATCCAGAAAGCAGCAATCGTCGCCGCGCCGCCCGCCGCGCCGGCGCTCATGGATGCGCCCTTGGTGCCGCAGGTCACCATCACTTCGGATGCAGGCGGCACCTCCAGGGAGATCCAGGAGGAAGACCTGGATGGGGCTGTGGACGGAACCCTGCGCAGGAAGCTGTCCAACTCGTCCATCTCCTCCAACGGATCCTCCGCGGTGGAGTCTGAGGATGATCTGCTGAGCGACACCGAGACTCAGAGCAAAGGCCTCGTCACTCTGGAGCACCTGGTGTGCGCAGAGGTGAGCGAGGTGAGAAGCCTCTTTGGTTTTTACCCCGCAGTTATCTTCAGAGGTGGAAGGGTACCCCAAAACCTGTACTTAAGTAAGAGTAGCACTGCAAAAATAATAAATCTCACCTGCTTTTTGGTTCAAATATCTTGGCAGACTTGAAAAATGACAAAACTAACAAGTAACTTTTCAGCAAGAAAAAGGAGTTTGTTTTGAGGCAGTAATTACTTAATATTGATGAAAAATTGTTGGATCTGTTGGCAGATTATTTCTCTTGCAGCATTGGAAAAATGCTCTTTGTCCAAAGTTAAATAATCTGCCAGTTTTCAAAAAGCAGAGTAAGCATTAAATATCTTTGTGCCCAGGATCAGTGTTAGGGTTTTGGACAATGAACCAAATGTTAACTTGAGCGTGAAAATCAGACAGGGTTTCTGCTTCATTTGCTCCCAAAATTATTACATTTACTTTCTTCTGCTTCCGTTCACTGCAAAAACACAAAATCTTATCAAGTATTTTTAGTTTAGTTTCTAGTGCAAATATCTTAGTTCACTTGAAATAAGACAAAACTAAGATATTTCACTAGAAACTAAACAAAAGTTGTTAATATTTTGTATGTTTGCAGCATAGCTGTACTTCAACATATTTTTATTCAAGTAAAGGTAAAAATTTAGCCAAATTACTCAAGCAAGAGTGAAAAAGTATTTGATATTAAGGCTACTCAAGTAAACAGTCTTGTATTTAAGACCAAAATATAAAGTTGTGTGGAAACGTTGGTGTTTAAAATAAAAGCAAATCAGGCAAAACAAGCAAATCAGTTTCTTTCAGTTTAAAACTAATAAAATGTGTGAATATTTGATTGAAACAAGTTCAGCCTAAATCTATGTCAGATTGTAGTCCATGGTTTATACAGCGAATAATAAAAAGTCACATTTACTGTAGTAAATAAGTAATATTGCAAATATTTCCAAATTCGTCCACACACTTTTTTTTTTATCATGAAACTGAAAAGATGTTCACTAATATTTAATTTTAAGAATTCATTGATATTTTAAGTTTGTGAACAGGTTTTATCAACACATTCTGGCACAGCCGGCCCTTTAAGAGCCTTCATGAACTTGATTTGGCCCAAAGCGAAAATGAGTTTGACCCCCCCTGATCTAGAGCGTGGCTCTTTCTTTAGCTGAACTTTATTAAACTTAGTTTAGCCAACAATGACCTAATCTTGTAAGATAAAAAGCATAATTTCCTGACTTTGAAAGATGTTTTATTAATGTTGAAATGAAAACTTCCTGTAACTGATTTTGACTTTCTCATATGAGGTCAAACAAGGTGGGGGTCTTATTTCCTGAATATTGTGTGTTTGTGGAAAAGTTTCTTATCTAGTTTTAGTTAGGATGAAATCAAGTTTGTGAATGTTTTCGCCATTAGAGAGGAAGAACTCTGTTAACTGGATCATCTTAGAATAATTTTAAAATACTGGCTGAATAATAACACACAGTTTCTCTCTCTTTATGATCTCTTTATTGATATGTTAACCACAGGCATTGAACTCAGAGAACACTGCAAAAACACAAAATCTAACCACATATTATCATAGTACACTAGAAATAAGACACTCCTAACTTAAAAGTAACTTTTCAGCATAGTATAGGTAGGAGCTTGTTTTAAGTATTTCATTAATATTGCTGAAATATTTCTAGTTCCACCAATTATTTCACTTATAACATGGGAAACGTGTTGCTGCCAATGGAACAAGTACTTTTTCACCAATACTAAGGACATTTTTACTTAAATCAAGCTCCTAAACCTTACTGAAAAGTTAGTTTTGTCTTGGATTCAGCTGTACTAAGACATTTGCACAAGAAACTAGACCAAAATACTTGGTAAGATTCTGTGTTTTTGTTGTGAAAACTTTCACACTTTGGCGTATTATGACGATTGAGGAAAAAAAAGGAGGATTCAATTTCCACCAAAAAACTCAGGCTTGAAGAAACTTGGACATTTCTGAGTTTCAAAACCTTAAATGTTTCGATTTTTGTAACTCAAAAGCTTCTGAGATTAATCTCAACATTTCTGAGTATATAAAATGCCAGTTGGCATTATATTCACCACTGGCTCACCAGGCCAAGTTACATGGATTTTGTACAAAAAAGCTCATCACTACTATATAAAATATGCAATTTTCTTTTGTACATTTCTGTCTCAAAGTCTTCAATTTTAGTTGACTAAACCAGCAGAAACCCTGAATGATTTTTATGTTTTTAATCAACTTAATTCCCAAAAGAAAAGATTGTTAGTTTTTATCTCCAATAAATTATGGGCAGCTAAGACAAAGAAGCAAGTTTGAATTTCTTTAGGTTGCTAATCATCTGTTTACAATAGTGAATTATTATTAAAAGTGATTTTCTATTCCTTCTTTAAAGCTAAAAATGAAAAGAAACTGTTAAAGGAGACGTATTTTGCAAACTTCATATTTTATAAGTTTTTGTACTCCATTTGGGTTTCTACTGCTTCTAAAAATCAGCCCAAGTGCTTAAAAAAACACATCCCACTGTTTGTTGGCAATAAGTTAATGTTTTTTGGTTTGGGGAATTCAGAAAACCCCAGAGTGCACCGTTACCTAGCAACCCCAGCTGGCCCAACCCGTTACCTAGCAACACAAGCAGAGCTCTAACACATTTGGTCAGTTGTTTTGCCACCGAATGTGCAACAGCTGCTGGAAAACAAATCCAAGAATGATTTTGTGTGACAAATGAATGAACATAGGCCTATCCTAAGCAAGTCACTTTAAAAACTATGGAATGGCGTGAATTCGTCCCTTACATTAATAAAATGTTACTGATAAGCTGGTCTTTTGGTAACCACGAGGTTGTTTAGTTGACGGACATTAAAGGTTGTTTAAAATTGCAGATAGTTGGAGCTTTCTGTCACAGGAAGGAGCTGATTTTTAGAGCAGAAGCAGTTCTTAAACATCAGCCAGCAACGCGTTTCCTGACAGAAGACCTCTGGGAATTACCGGAGAATTACTGCAGACAAGACACAACTACAGAGCGATAACAGATTTCCCTTTAAACCGTTTAGTTCATCTTCCATTAACTGATAAGTTCAGCTCACAGCAAGCACTTCTCATGGGGATGAGTCATTTTGGCAGCTCAGGAGTTATTTTGGGAGCTTTTGAATGAGAAGGGCTCTGGAAGATTTCACATGAGATTATGTTCCCGTCACACAAGTGTTGGGTTTTTCTCTCACTTTCAAAGCTATTTCTCAAATAAAAAAAGGAAAACCTGTTTTATAAAGCTTGGAGAGCTTGTCAGAGGAAGGATGATACCCAGAACATCTGATTCTCCTCCCTGAAATAATAACATTTTTTAACATCATCTTTACGACATTTAAAATGTTTAATGGTTGTAAGTCTCTGTGTGCAACTAAAGTGTTAAACATTATAATCACAAACCTTACTGCATTTTAATCGGATTTTGTCTGACTAACATAAAGTAGCACCATCATCACTATCATCATGCTTCTTTCATGGTGTGTCATGGTGTTTGAACCATGACACACGTCTGCATGAAATGAAATCAGAGTGAATGGAAAATAACAGGTTACGTAATCATGTGTCATTTTGCTTTTACATTTAACTTGAAGATATTTTGCCTCATATTTCCGATGCTCTTCTTGACTTATCCTCCAGTGTGAGATGAGTTCACATTAAAAACATTTTTACCTTTCTGCTGAAAGACCTGAGCTGAAAGGATGAATTGACTAAGGGTGGAAACATGCGATTACTTTCTGTCATTGCTGCTCATAACTTTCTATCTGATGCAGCTCAGCTCTGCAGGAGAGGCTTAAAGGTGTGGCAGAAAAGTATTTTTCCCCGTATTCCTTCTATGTACATGAAACGCCTTCAAATATTTTTTATTTATTAGAAAAACCCAGCAATCCACACCAACATGAAATATGCTGATGGGTTAAACATGTTGCAATCAGAATAAATTTGATAACAGATAATAAAGCCATCTGCTGATCTAGAAGTTTCTGCTAAGGATGAGAACTACGGACTCAAAGTTTTGTCATGATATTTTGTTCTACAATTGTGATAACAATAGATAGACGTGACAGTAAGAGCTATTTATTACTTCTTTTTTAAGCAATGAGACATTTTTCCCATAAGGGAAATAATCCAATGGTACTGAACTTTTTCATGAGTATTAAGGAATTATTGGCTTAAAACAAGTTCATAATTGTTGCTGAAAATTTACTTGTGAGTTAGTTTTGTCTTATTTCAAGTGTACTGAGGTATCTGCACTATAAAATATGCCAAAAATACTTGGTAAGATTTTGTGTTTTTGCAGTGTAAGTGGTAGAACCATAAATTCTGCTCTCCAGCTGAACGTTCTGAAATGCAATGTTACATTTCACTCATTTTTATTCTCAACTGCTTCTAAAAACAACTCAAGTGCTAAAAAAAAAAAAAACAGCTGTGTTTTTGCAATAAGTTGATGTTTTTGGTTGTGTGGAAAATGAGCTGTTTCAAACACCTCCCGAATATTAAGGGGCAATGCGCCGTTACCTAGCAACCCAAGCAGAGCTTCAGTACATTTGATTGGTTAGTTTTACCACTGTATGTGTTGTACAATGGCTGCTGGAAAAGACAAGTGATCATTTTTTGGCAAGAAGTTATTGTTTTTTGGTGTCTGGAAATCGAGTCACTTTAAAAACCTCCCGAATGGTTTTCAATCAACTGTTGAGACCCAATCAACTCAATAGTTGATTGACTGTTGAGTCACAAGCAATAGGCGCTGCGCTGTTACCGAGCAACTGTATTCGCTGCACAATTGCTGCTGGGAAAGACAAGTGTTTTATTGTTGACTCACCATCCAGGAAACACTTGCTGTTTTCTTGTTGGTTGTGCAGAAGGCTCTACTAATGCTTTTCAAAGATGTACAGTTGTGTAATTGTGCATCTGTTTGCAGCCATTTTCATATGTGAGTGTAAACATTGAGTTGGGGGGCGTGGCCAGA